GAAGCAGAAGAGTCTGCAGATGTAGCAGCGGGGATATAGTAAGAGCAGGCAAGAAGAGAGGCACTGGGCCCCAGACCTGGGTGCTCAGGTGGGGAGCCCTAATTTGAGTCCTGGGACTATGCTCATGCTCCTGGCTGGCACAAAAGTCCTCAGCTTAGGAGGTCATAACTAAGTCCAGTGGCCTGAATCAATTGAAGATTGAATAGGAAGTAAAATTTGAAAAACAGCAGCAACATTCCTTCCCCCTTTCTTTCTCTCTATAATTGTTGCCCTGAAATTTGCTTGTGCCTAATTAGGTGCTGAGGAACTAACCATGCTTTAGTTAAACTTCACTGGGCTCATAAGTTTTCTGGAATCATACAGACAAGAGGTGACACAGTGCTTCATTTCAGGTTGGGCTTTGATCAGCAATGGTGCAAGTCAATGCACAATGGAAGCTGCTGGAGGCTGAGCCATTGGGCTACACTCTGTTTATTTCTCCATAATAACCACAGTCAAATAGAGAACCGTTACATAAGACTTCATCAGTATCGCCACAATTTGTCTTAAACAAATTGTGCTGGGATACTGAACAACTGCATGCAAAATAATAATAATTAGTCCAGTCACAGGCCATACACCCTTCACAAAGAATGAATTCCAGGCCTTCCCTGGTGGCGCAGCACGTTAAAGCACAGCACTAAGAAGAAAAGCCACTTCAGCATGAGTTTGATCCATGGTCTGGAGGTGACCCACATGGTGCAGCAGACCTCTCCTGACCTGCCCGCTGCTCCCCTCAGCAGAGAACTTCGTCAGTCGGCCTGTTCTGCTCCCCACTCTGTCTCTGGTGAGTCTTCTCACTGCACCTGCACCTCTGGCCTGTACCCCAGTTCTATATGCATAAATAAATAAATCTTTAAACAAAAAAAGAAAGAATTCCAAATGGGTCACTGACCTAAACAAATACAATACAAAATATTAAATTCCAAGAATATAACATAGGAGAAAACCTAGATGACCTTGGGTATGGTGATACTTTTCATGTATCACACCAAAGACATGGTCCTGAAGGAAATAATTGACAAGTTGGACTTCATTAAAATTAAAAACTTCCGCTCTGCAAAAGACAATATCAAGAGAATTAAAATACAAGATACAGACTGGAAGAAAGTATTTGCAACAGGCATATCTGATAAAGGACTGTTATACAAAATATTAAAACCCAATGGTAGGAAAACAAACAACCCAATTAAAATATGTGCCAGACCTTAATAGACACCTTACCAAAAAAGACATACAGATGATAAATAAGCATGTGAGATGTTCCACGTCATGTGTCATGAGGAAAAACAAATTAAAACAATAATAAGATACAACCACACATCTATTAGAATGACCAAAATCTGGAACACTGACAACAATAAATGCAAGCAAGGGTGTGGAGCACCAGGAACTCTCAGTCACTGCTGCTGGGAAAGAAAGGCGGTGTGGCCACATTGGCAGGGTCTGTGCTTTCTTACAAAGCTAAATATACTCTTACTAATTGAGCTAACAATCATGATCTTTGATATTTAGCAAAAGGAACTGAAAATCTAGGTCCACGTAAAAACCTGCACATAAATGTTTACAGCAGCTTTTTTCATAATTGCCAGAACCTGCAAACAACCAAGATGGCCTTCAGAAGATTAGGTAAATAAACTTCGATGTACCCGGACCATAGAATATTGCTCAGTACTGAAAAGAAATGAGCTATCAAGTCCTGAAAAGACCTGGAAGAAACTTAAATACATATAACTAAATGAAAGAAAACATGGCATGCATGACACCAAGTGTGAACTCCAAGATCAGTGGATTTGTGGTGATTCTGATGCATAGATGTATTTTCATCCTTTGTATAAACTGTGAAGTTGATAATGGGGAAGATTACACATGTGTGGGGGCAGGGACACATGGGAAATTGCCAACTGTAGCTCTCAATTTTGTTGCAAACCCAAAGCTCCCCTAAAATAATAAAGTATTTTTTAAAAGTCAAATGGAAATGCACGGGACTATGGTGGTGGCACAGGGGTGATTTGTTGATGGGAAACCCGCGGGGATTACAATCGAGATGGAAAAAAAAATGTGCAAAATGATGTAAAAATAAACTTTGTAATAAAAAAATAATAAAAAGAACTTGTTACTTTAAAGCCCTCATAAAAAAAAAAAGTCAAATGGACTAAAATGGGAGTCTTAAGGAAGAGGATCCATTTACAGAACTCACCTGAGCAAGACATCAAGGTAGCCAGGCTTGATGCGCGTGTCAAGGTGGCCCTGGCTGAGGATCACAGATGTGAACCCAGGACTTGGGGTAGGGAGTTGTCCTTTTATGTGCTTAAGTCACTGCAAAAGGCCACCCTTGATGTCTCTTGGCTACGTACCTATCCCCTTTCAACTAGACCTTTTCCTGAGAAAGTAATCACTACCAATAGGACATCTCCTACTTTATGACATGAAGTACTAGTCATAATATAAACCCTTTTTAAATAGCAGGAACAATTAACTCTTGATGATGTATAGATTTCTCACTTGGATATTATTACTTGTAGGACATGTTTAATCCCAATTTTAATGCTTCCCCTTTAGTCATTACATTTTTGATGCCCCTCCTTTTCCCACAGGTCAATATTGACTTCAGGGGCAGTAACTATTTAATTTTTTATTACTCTAAAGAAAAATCAAAGGGTATAGTTTCCTTGCCCCTCAGCCTCTCACCAAGAGTCACAGTGCATTCCAAAGAGGTAATTATTGAATTACCCTCTGTTTTGAGTGTGTATTGCTTTCCATTGTAAATAATGAGTAATTGACCTGTAAGGATGTCTTTGATATCAGCTATTAGTTCCAGCCTCCACCTTTTAGTCTCCAAATGATTTGATCTTAAACATTATACTTCTCACTTACTCAATGAGGAAATTAGCTGCTCTCATGGTAGTTCTATCAAAGAAAACTCTGAACTGTTCAGAGCTCCATGGTCAAGTATGTCATCATTAGCATCAATTTGGGTCGCAACAGACCTCATGCACCAATGTGAAACATTTCCACACCCTATTTCGTTATATCTACTCACATCCCCTCCCCCCTGCCCCAAAAAAAGACAGAGAACAATAATCTAAACCTCTTTTTATCAACAGTGGAATAGTTTATATTGTTACTATACAAATTTACTTAAGAACAGAGATTCCTTTGAATCTCAACATTTTCTTGGACAAGCAGTCTTTAAAAAAAAAAGTCACCATCTCTACAATGGCTTCATGTTATATCTCTACACACTGGCCCACAAAGGAGAATCAAAATAATGTTCCCAAAGAAGCCAACCAGGATTCCCTGCTCACGGTGGTACTCTTGTGGGAGTTAGTACAGTATTTCACACTTTGGTATTTTTTCCTTTTTAAAAGAAGATAAAATATTACAGTGACATCTTCAAAATTCACACCTGAGTTAAATATTTTGCTGGAAAATTCCTCATTAAGAAAGGAAGAACATAATGCAAAAACAGGACAGGCTATATACAGTATTCTGCCAGCATGATTGTTGCACGTTTCTTTTGTGTTCTTCCTTCCACTGCCAGGAGAAGGAGAAAGGATGAGAGATATGGAGAAATACAGATAGAAGGAAGAAATGAGGATTCCTGAACTCTGGAGTCAACAGAAGAGCACCTGTAGACAGGGAAATGTGCCCAGGAGACGAGGCTGTCTCAGCCTTCTGGGAAAAAAAAAACAAAACAACAAAGGACTTAGGAGAATTGGTTCTAGAAAAGGGGGCTAAGGAGAATGAGGTGAAATGGAGATTCAGCCAGAGAACTGCTGCCCAGGGAAAACACCAAGGTGGCAATATCAGATTCAACTCTTCAGAGGTTTTAGAGTCAGTTCAGAAATGGCCAAGTTCAAAGTCAAAACCATTATCTCTCCTTGCAGTAGTCTGGCACACCAAGCAAGAGGCTGTCCTGAAAAAGCCCACGTGTGAGTTGGAGAATACTGGCCAGGCATCCTTCCTCTGAAAGACCACCAGCCACAGTGAAGCCGTCGGAAATATTTAGAAGTAGAGGCAAAGGGCATAGGCGAAGAAGGTGAAAGTGGTAGACTCCTACGAGGGGTCTTTATCTCAAGAGCACTAGGAGTCAGCACAAGGTTCAATCACAGTTTGGACCTCTGAGGCCCTTGCTCCTGAAGAAGGCAAGAGTTTGGGTCATGGCTAGTGGAGATTCTCTTCCACTCTTCTGAAAGCAGTGTGTCCACGCAAAGGATGTGACTCCCTTCCTTCCGGGGGGGGTAAAGGACTGTTATACAAAATATTAAAACCCAATGGTAGGAAAACAAACAACCCAATTAAAATATGCGCCAGACCTTAATAGACACCTTACCAAAAAAGACATACAGATGATAAATAAGCATGTGAGATGTTCCACGTCATGTGTCATGAGGAAAAACAAATTAAAACAATAATAAGATACAACCACACATCTATTAGAATGACCAAAATCTGGAACACTGACAACAATAAATGCAAGCAAGGGTGTGGAGCACCAGGAACTCTCAGTCACTGCTGCTGGGAAAGAAAGGCGGTGTGGCCACATTGGCAGGGTCTGTGCTTTCTTACAAAGCTAAATATACTCTTACTAATTGAGCTAACAATCATGATCTTTGATATTTAGCAAAAGGAACTGAAAATCTAGGTCCACGTAAAAACCTGCACATAAATGTTTACAGCAGCTTTTTTCATAATTGCCAGAACCTGCAAACAACCAAGATGGCCTTCAGAAGATTAGGTAAATAAACTTCGATGTACCCGGACCATAGAATATTGCTCAGTACTGAAAAGAAATGAGCTATCAAGTCCTGAA